TCACAGCCCAGAGAGACTTGTGTCAGCACACTTGAAGGACAGCAGCCTTATTAAACAAAAAGGTAAATGTTATGGATTTGAGCTTGCTCAAAATGAGTCACTGAAAGCATCAACTCAGCACAATACAATCAGTTTCAGAAGGATTATGGGATCAAAAAGGAACAAACCTGGACATCAATTTGAAATAAAAACATACCCAGCATAATCAGAAATTCCCTGATGTACTAACCATCTCCTTCTGTTAGTCAAAGCAATTTGAAGTAAATTCTACCAGTGACATTTGGTTCAGGTCTGACTGGAGTTTCAACTAGTCAGTTCACTTCCCGCAAATCGCCTGAAATTCACATTCAAATGTCACCCATGTCAATGTTCGTAATACCACACCTGGTGCACACTTGTCATTGCTGAGAAACAGGAGTTACATAATACTCGCGGTAACATGAATATGCCTTTAGACTGAAAAATGTAATACCTGTTGAACATGATGGGGAAGGTTGAGGTTTTCCCTTGCCCTGAAGCAACAATACCTGTTGATTATTGAGCTTACCAGTATTTCCAAATGTTTGTGGCTAAAATCTTAGTTGAATAAGATCTTTGAAAAATGCTGCCGTTAAAACTTCAAGAAGGATACTTACTCTCAAATGCAAATATTGTTTTGACAATACATCAAGATTAACAAAAAAGGACCTCTCTGTTAATCAGAAATCAGTAATGAACACATGAGCATATATGTGCACACAAACAATGCAACACACGGCACTCTTACCTCATACACGAGAAAAATACAAACAGCTTGTGAGAGAATATAAACAATCAAAGGCGGGCAGCAAGTAAATAAAGAAGGCCACAGCGGCAGTACCTTTTCTCGTGTCAGTTGAATGCATGCATTTCCTAAACTCAGAGACGAATCTTTATCCTTTTACAAAATGTACTACATCCCAGACCCACCCTTTAGAACAGAGAGTCACAAGTACAGAATGAGGGAGGAGCGTGGAAGCAAGCACAAACCTGCTCTCACACCCATCAGCTGAAACCACATTCAGTGAGAGCCAAGAACAACGGAGATTACACACGCATCCACACACTTGGTTTACACAAGCACATCACACACATTTAAACACACTTTATGTATTGCACTCTGACATGTGTAAATACACATATGTCTAAGTAAATATACATATAGCCATGTTGACTCCATACCTTATCCCTCCCTGGACATTGTTCCTCAGAAAGAACAGGCATGTACTTGTCAGTGTCAGTGAATACAGAGAGGAGTGGGTGGAGGGAGGATGGGGGCAGGGAGCTAGAGTCTTAAAGTTCAGTTTCATCTGAAATCAGGGAAACATGCAAATCCATAAATCCCTATGAGGAATGATGGGATATACGCCATGACAGAGAGAGACTTTAATCATTTAATCTGAAGTGAAAGGATGCTTATGTTATGACATGAGTCTTCACAAATCTATGCATGAATATTTAGACTTGCAAGCTTCTTCCTGAAGTTAGGAGGGTGAAGCGAGTATCAAGAGCAAGACTTTCTTTTCTTCCTTAAAACTGTACTCACTATCTTGCATTACTAACAAAACATAGGAAAATGTTTTGTACATTTTTACGATGTTGTACATTTAAATTAATTTAAATTGTAATCTATATTATCACATATTAAACACACAAGGAATCACCCATAATGGCTGAATGCTGAATACAATCTTTGATACAATCAAAATTGTATATAATAGCCATAAACTTAATGAACAGATCTGTTCTTGGTTGCATGTTCAGTGTTTTGTTTTGTCATGCAGGCTTTGTTAATCAGTAGAGTGCTCCCTCAAGTGGAAGACTGTGAAATGACAGCAACAACTGGGACAAAGCTGTAACGCCTGATTTGAGAGCATTGGGAAGAGGCAAGTAAAGGGTGATTTTTAGAAAGATTCTTTTAGATTTTATATATTTTTTAAAGGCTATAGATATACAGTACTGAAGTTATGGTTTCTCACTAGTCAGAAACTACAATAAACAAAGCTATTTAACTAGAATTATACCATCAGGAGTTAATAAAAAAAATAAACTGTCTCCCCCACCCTTCACACACTGAATAATGTATTTTCCATTTCAAATGCCTCTAAGCCAAACTGATAGAGGTTTGTCAATTATAGCCAGCACTTGTCAATGAGGCTGACTACACCTTGGAGAACACTAGCAATCACAGTCATCTCTATTATAGCTGTAATCGCAAGCAATCTGCGTTTTATTCTCTGGTTGGTTTATCATATTGAGGAGGTTGCTCTGTGCTTTGTCTAAAATAATGAACCTCCCTGTTTCCTCCGGCTAGCCAGACACTCATTTATCTCCCCCTAAATGATGTGAAACACTGTGGAGAATGAAGTAATTAGAATGTGGGGATAATTAAAATTGTCCCACTTTGCCTCTTTTTCCTCAGTCTTGCCACCATGTGGCCGCAGGCACTAGGTGACATGAGGTAAGACGCAATCCTCAGCACTTCAGAGCCTTCCCAAATAGCAAACAAAACAATGAAAAAAAAATAAAAAATCCAAATGACATGGTTTTGGAAGTTCCCAGGGATTCTGTGGCAAGTTTGGATCGTCTTTGTTGACAGAGGAAGCATCCAAGTGCTTCAGGCTCAGGTCAGGGCTCACAGCTGACTGGACAGTTAAGGGAGCGGAGCTGTTTGAGAGCCAACAGCAGCCTCATGTTGTTTATGGTAATGAACAGCAGGGGGTTAGCCGAGGAGGAGGAGGGTAAAGAAGGACAGGAAGTCATAAGGAAACTGGAAGGACAGGACAAAAGACGAAAGGACGGCAGATAAGGAGAGACAGGATGATCAGAAAGGACAAACAGAAAAAAAAACAGCTGTCTGGTCTGAGATGGTCACACTCAATTATGGGAATGAAATATGACAATAAATCACTTAGCCAAGGAAAAATAAGGGTAGAGGAAAAGGAGGATGAAAAAGACAGCAGATGAAAATTAGGAGAGAAATCAGGCAGCAAATGTTGGAGCAGGAGGTGAGATAAAGATCATAGATATCCAGAGCTTTGTTTAATTCTGTTGCACTATTTTGATGTACTGTTTTGTTGCCTTGATTGCACAGCTTGGTTTTTCCCTTCTATATTTATGTGGAACAGCCTCACATGGCACAGCACATGGCTAGGCACTACCCACCAAGGGACAAGATTACAAGCCTCCATTCTCAAGCCTTCATTGTTGTATCTCCAAAGAGATGACATTGTTTCACATGTGGGATCTAGTGGTATAACATCTCATGTGCATAAACAAATGAGCCCTCATTTAATGGTAAGAAGATGCCACAATGATTTTTACTGTATAAAACAACACATAGGTACTCCGGCACCGGCGACTTTGCATACACTTTTAACATTAAAATGATTAAACTGCACACTATTCAAATAGAAAGAGTCTTAAAAAAGGTTGCGTGCTGTTTTCTACAGTTTCACTTGTTAGAATAGATATGAATGGATTTCTTCTTGCATGTAGAAAAGTCCTTTAAATGTTAATTAGAAACTGTCCAGAGGTTCAAACCGTTCCTTAAAGCTTAATGAATTTAGAATCTCTGAATGTTTTCCCCCACATCAAGTGCACCAAATGACACTTAAGCAGGCCTCTCGTCCCTATGAAGCATTCCTGGCAACCCTATCTGTCGGTCTTTCTCTCATCTTCTCCTACTTTGCTTCCAAGTAATAATGGCACATTGGAGTCATAGAACCGCCACTGTCCAACCGGACTGAGTCTAGACCGGAGCCGGCTCTGACCTCACCCATTAGTTCTCCCTCGAGACTGAAGCTCACTGACACATATCCAAGAGAGAACACAGCGCTATCCCTACCCTTTCCTCATCTTTTGTTCGTATCTGGGCTATCAGAGAGGTACAAAAAAAAAAATGTTTCCGGTGGTTACTGGTTATCAGACATTGCCATGGTAATGGAGGTGACAACCGTATCCAAGGGAGACCGGCTGGCACAGAGCACGTCCCAGCAATCACTGTGCCGACCCTGATCAGACCAGACATAATCTTAATTAGAAAGTGATGCTGTTCACTCACTCTTTCACTCACCTGTCTGTCATGATCTCTGCGCTCCAGCACACGCACACACACACATGCGCAGACACACACACCTGTGTGAAGCTATTGAACACACAACAAACTACAATCATGTAAAACATAAAAACTAATGCTATTTACGTAAGATTACAACTTTATTGCATGAATTAACCAACAAGCTAGACTTGACACTGATGTGAGTGAAATATGGTGTAATGGCTGTGCGTGCATGTAGACCATTCCCACACTTTTATTTCTTGTATCAAATCTTTCTGTCACAAAACATGCTTTGTTTAAAGGTCTCAAGTATCGCATGAGAAAAAACCTCTGAACTTCTTCCAGCTTTTCACACCGTCGCCTTTCCCTCGCTGGCTACATGCTACACATACACTCACAGAAACAAACCTGACACAGGAGACCTGCCAGAGGAATTTTATATAATCATTGACACATGGGCTCTCAGTATTTGTTCAAACATACATGCAAGAATGTGTTGAATTGTTGACCAATGATATCAGTGTTTTCCTTTTTCTGCCTGACAGATCTGAGATCAAAAACAGTGAGAAATGAACCATATTGCCCCTGAAACTGAAAAAAAGAACAAGCCAGCAGGCTGAAAGATGGCAACACAACTATGCAGCTAATTAGCCACTTCAAACACCAGCACCGATCCACAGGTCACACACACACACACACACACCAAAGCTGCTAGTCTTTGTTTGCAATAACACATCTGATGACAGGGTGTCAGTCAGTCCTTTGTAGAAGACTGTTAATCCCCTGGTCTGTTGCATGTATGTGTCTGTGCATGTTTGTATAAATATCAAAGTTGTGTGTTTGCATGCCATATCCTACCTTCTGTCCGGTCCCCATGTAGGTTTTGTCTTCCTGATGACCTCCGGGGCTCTGAAGGCTCAGCAGAGGTCCTTCCTCCAAACTCTCATCTGGGCTATTCACCGTCAACCCCGACACCTCATCAAGGATGTCCTCTACAGACGCGAGATAAAAGACAGAGCTCACTGAGGTGCAAGTGTACATATATGTTGCGTGTATCAGGAACTTCCACCTAAAACTTAGTTACAGCCCTTTTTCAAAAGTACACAAACAGGTCGAACTTCGTTGATTCTGTACACTTCCTCTTTTAAAAAGGTGTTTAAGAGAGAGAGAGATGCCTATTTACAGGCGACTTTAAAGACCTTCCTGCATGAAAGTAATTTATAAAGCATCCTTGTGTTTGTTCTAAGTTATATCCCTATAACCCTTAATGTTTATTATGCTTTTATTGTATAGTCCAATTTGTTATTATTCTGTCTGTACCTCTGAGAAATGTAATGAGATGTGTGTTAATGTGTTTTGTTGGAGGCCTCTTGTGTACACCGTCTCCTTTTAAGCATGACATCATCGATAACCTTCATCTGGCTGTTCAAAGTGTTTTTACTCTCCGTCTGACCCTTTGCGTATGGCATATCCTACACAATGACAGCTACACACTGCTGATGGATTCATATTAATATTCATACTTCTAAGTCCCTGTATAAACAATGCCAGCTTGTCAGCCTGTGCACTGCACACCCCAATTTATAAGGAATACAAATGGTGCCCTTGCACAGATAAAAAGAGCAGGTCAGAGGAACGCTGGCGGCTGCCTGCAGGTTGGTTAGCAGACAGCATCCATGCATAATTAGCAAATTGCCCTATTCACCCGCTGCTTAAAAAGATCACCATCTGCATTCTCCCTTTTTTTTCGCCACATAAAGTTGGGGGTTTAGAGGATGTATGATGGTACAAGACAAGGAATCTGAATAAAAACTAAAAAAGGACAACAAAGGAGCATTGTGCAATGATGTAAAGCCTTTTGTTTTTGTTCTGTTTTTTCAAAGATTACACTGATCAAAGCATCTTTCGAACATGCTGTTGAACTTTACATATAGTAAGCATCAGTGTGGATAACCCTGATAGGGCTGCACAATATGGTAAAAATATCATATTGTGCTTATTTTTACAGATATTTTGATTGTTTCTGTACCAAACAACCATGTTTTCTTAAGTATGGAGAGCAGAAAGTCATTATAATGGTATTTTGTCAACCTTTATTAAATGATTGCAGTGTCTGCAATTTGCATATTGCACTTGGCCATCAAACACAAGCGGACTCTCTACTGTCTACTCTCGACCTGCTCACTTTTACCTGATTTGATGGCTCTTAACAAACTTAACTTATCATTTGAAACTGTAAAATAAGCTCACTGTACTTGTCATTAGAGGACACTGTTTGGACACATAATCTAATTAAAAACCTGCCATAGACAAATAATAATAACTTAAACCGTGTATCCACAACTTTGTTCATGTACAACAGGAAGCTTCACCTTGGCTCTGGGAGAAGATGTCTGTAGCTGGATCCTGCTCCCCATCAGAGTGCCGGGGTGGAAGGGAGCAGAGCACCCGAGGGTCCAGCTGGGGCAGGGTGCTGATACTCAAGGTCAATGCTTGGTTTACAAAAGCAGCCCTCATATCATCCATTTGGAGGGCTGATGCAGGTTTACCATTCAGCAACAGAATCTCATCTCCTGCTTTCAAACCTTGTGGAGAATGAAACAACAAAACAAAGAGAGATTTGAAAAACAGCTCACCAAGGTGGCTTCATAAATACTGAAAAACTATTTAAAGGGATTTAATTTTGGAGACAAATACACTGCAAGAGAAGAAACTGACACTACTGTAAGTGCAAGACTGCTAATGTGTACAAATGATCTACACAAACAAAACTTTACTGCCATACTCCTCAACAGCAGCTCTCTGGGTAATCAGACATGTTGGGACTCTAATGTGTTCCAATACATTAAAAATACATTCTTCTTAGCTTGTTCGCTTGAGGCAAATGCTGATCTAACAAGACCGGATGGGTTTAAGAAGGAGAGTGCAATGCCTGTCTATTCCTGTCCTGTCATCATGTATATAGTCTGCGTGGTACTATATATGAAAAAGAAACCATGGACTGCATGGACCACTGCAACACAGCTTCAGTTTGAGGCTTTTTTTCCCCTTGTCCCCTCCCCTTGACCACCTGTGCCCGATTCTGCTAATTGAGAATTAGCGCTCAATCAGCCAGCCAATTAGCAGACAACCTCAACCAATAAACCTGATTGGTTGTGACAGCTGTTTAAGACATCTGACAGTCTCACCTGCCCTCACTGCCGAATTAAGTAAGACAAAGGGTTCTGGTCCTGTTCACACAGTCACTCATAAGCACATGTTTGCTTATTATCCTTTCTTCTTACTTCAGTCTCATTTTATGTCATCTATCGTAATAGAAACAGCAGGCATTCTGTGATATGGCTTTCATAATGCTACGCACACATGCAGGCACACACACACACAGTTACATATATAGACACACAAGGCACACATTTAGCCCTAAGTTATGACCTAGTTGTCTGGGATGTGAGATGTCAGCTGTAGCACAGTCTTTATTGGACAGAGAGAGATAACCCCTTGGGCCATATACTGCTGTGTGTGCGTATGACTGTGTGTGTTGCATTTATGTGTGTTTGTGTGCACTTATGTAGGGGGAGGGGCAACAGAAATTACAGTGAGAGAGAGAGAAGAAGAGATAGAGAAAAGACCCTTTGGGGCTCCTTGTCCAGTGCTGGCCTGGTTTCTGCGTATACCCTGCAGAAACTGAAGCGTGATCTCTTTCACTCCCCATTCATTGTCCTCAGTCTTAGTAAAACACATGCACACATGCACAGGCTCATCTCAGCATACACGTGGACCTACTATGTCGTGCCTGAAATATTTAATTATGTGATTCAGCAAAAATATAGTGTAATATTCTAAAAAATATCCATTGTGTTGTCTGGAAGCCACAAGCTTTTTTCTATCTTTACTAGCATATAGAGGTGGAGAGTCAGTACAGCTGTGTCCTCTGGCTGCTGACAGCCTACTAAGCTAGAAGCTTTCAGATTGCTATAAATGCACTGGAGGACACAATCTCACACTTGAGTAACCTTGGTCTGACCCTGGGGCACAATAGTGGGGCATGTTATTTTCTATACATTAGTGTTGTATCTACAGAGCGGCCGTGTGTTTCTCAACCCCATTAGGTCTCTCTGGCTCCGTTAAAAGACAGGGACACATGAATGGGGGCTGATCTCTACACCCGACTTTTCAAACAGTGGTCAGATACAGACAAAGGAATGCTGTTTTTCTTCTTTGCTCTCAGGAGGAAGAAGAAAGCCACAAAGTCAAGGCTCTCCCCTGCAATCTTTTTATTTATTTTTATTTTTATTTCATAGATCAAGGTTTTGGCAAGTTATGCCCTTTTAAGATAAAAGCCAGTGATCATTAGACTGACAAATGTAGTGCGAAGAACAGGTGATTCAAGGCTTTTTGGACATATTGATGCAAGCACCCAGATGTTTTTACACTTTGTGATATTCATATCATGTGCACATACTGATGTTGGAGGTATTTCTTGGCTGTGGATGACCTCTCTATGGACTACTAAATTTCTAAGTTGATTGCCTTGTAAATCCTGAAAAAGGAAATGAAAAATAAAAAGACTGCATCAGAGTAATGAGTGTGCAGCTTTACTCTGTTTCCCTTGATATCTACTTAAAATATATTATTTTTATTTACCTCTTCTCTACTCTGTCCTAAGCCACTTAAGCTTCTCAAACAGAAGAAAATGTGGCTATGTTGGCTCAGCAGCTGATGCGATGCAGTCACACAAAGCTGCACTGAAAAGATATCATGTGGGATATCATGTCAGGTCCGGTTTTTGGCTGTTTAGTGTGCAATGTCAACTCAAGAAAGAAATATGTACTGAGCTTTCATACACCCTTTACATAACCCCTCTTGTTACTGCACTTAGATTCAACTATGATAATTTTCCTGGGTTTTTGTTCTGTTTTGTTTTGTCTTCTGTGTCTGAATATCAACTCTCAGGACACTGAATGTACAGTACACAACACACTTTGGGTTGTTTGTTCACAAAAAAAGGTACCTTTAGCTGAGGCCAGTCCCTCTGCTTTCACTTCAGTAATATGGAGCTGCTGTGTCCCATCCTCATCTATAACCGCCACAGAAAAACCTATAGACATACATAATTAGGCAAAAGAGAAAAAAAGAAAAAAGAAAAAGAAAGAGATTCAGTCATGAATTTGTATAGTCTGCTTTGAAATATCTCAATTAGACAGTGTACACTGCTGCAGCAACTACCAATCGATTAGATCCACTTAAGACAAAATGCGCCCACACTGGGTCATCCCCATTTAGTGATTAACAAAGCATGACTCAATGAAGTCTATTACAAAATCAGTTTGATACAGAATTTTAAGAGTATGATGGGAACTGAGTCTCGCTCAAAAAGGGGTATGTTCAGAGACAAGCATACCATATCCGATGGTGGTGGACTCGGATTTGTCGAACTGGATCACCTTGGTAGCTTTGGGGCAAATCTCAATCTCTTTGTATAGCTGCAAACACAGGAAAATTGTATTTAATTGGCAAAAAATGGAAGGAAACAGTGTTGTTGGAACGAGAAGGTCAAGGTCATGTTATCGCTCTTAATAAAGAATGGATAGGTTCATGTATTATTCAGGCTCCTTAACAGAGCAATCGCATGTGAGGGTCAAAATCCAGGTCAAGTCTAAGAAGTGAGTGGGTGCTCAGGCAGGGGTTTGACCTCACATTGGGCGAGAGCATAGACACAGCTGTGTGTATGAAGCAACAGACAGGAACAGAAGTCTGCAGTGTGTAATGTGCTTCACTGTGGAGAAATAATAATGTAATATCATAGACTAAGGATGAAAGAGGGTGAAATGAGTCACTGATCAAAGCAGGAAGATAAAAGACCTCTTGAGGAAAAAGAGCGAGTTACACAATGACTTTGCTTTGAGACAGAGTTCAGTGTATCACCTACAAAGCACCGCCACAAAGAGAATTTGTTTCGGGGTTTACAGTGGCTGAATAATGTGAAGGTGATGTCTTTCTCAATGAGAGTGATTGTTTATGAATAATAAGAAAAGTAAAAATACGGACACACAAACACAATGGGTACTGTTCATAGTGCACATAATACACTCGGAATACTGTTTTGCATAATTTATAGTATATGCGATGAAGCTTCTTTTGCATCTTGGGAATTTTTGTATGCATTGCAAATCAAATGTGCAACCAAGTCATAAAACATGCACAAGCTTGCATCCGGATCTGCCTGAAATGAAACAAAAACTAATTCATAATAAGGTGAAGATCCCAAAATCCAAATGTGTAATATATCAAAAAAGCAAAAAAAACAAAAACAAAAAAACCCCTGAAAACTTTAAATAACATGCAGTGAAATAACCTTTATACATATCTTTCATTACATGATATGGGTGTTGTCATGGAATATTATAGTTTCATGGTTCATTATGTGATTGTCCAGACTCCAAAAATGTGTTATTAACTCCATGATATCACAAGTTATTACCGCAGTGCTTCAGTGTGTGTTTCCTCACCAGATCAGATATATCCTCTTCAAGTTTGGGCACATAAAAGAGCATCTGGCTGTCAGTCCACACCTTCAGACGTAAGTAGTGGCCGGACGGGTCTATTTTATGGGTCTGGAGGCAACAAGACAGAGAAGAAATAAAGAAAAGACACATTAAAGTGTATGTATTCATTTTCTTTCCAAAATAAGACATAATCACTCTAACTACTAGGGGTTTATTCTCCATTTGAAGCCATGTCTGTCTTCTAATGTAACACATAGATAATATTTTAAACTCCAACATCAAAACAACATTTTCTTTACCATTACCATATTACTCTATAGCTCATGGCACCCCCTGTCAAAAAAGACATATATGTATCCAATCATGTATATAATCCACATATATATCTGCATGCATGTAACGCACAGGGGCCGTGAATTAGACGCTCCAGTTCCTTGTGACATGTTTATGGCACTCATGCACAAAAACGCCCACACACGTCCATCAGCTGTACACATGTGTTTCAACAGACTCTTAAGTGGAACGTATACGTATCATTTGGCATCATTATTCTAGTGTGTCTCTGGCTGAGACCAATTAGGGAGAAGAGGAGATGAAGTGGAGAGAAATTTGACAAGACAGTCAGACTATTATTATGCAGTGTATATTGTAAGGTAAGAAAATAACTAAGAAAAGATCTGTGACACTGTCAGTCTAAAAGCACAGACGTCATCTGTAGGGTTCACTTTTCTGCTTCCGTAGAAGTACCAGGGACAGTTTCACATCTCAGGTATTCTCAGATTCATATTCAGATTGACATTGAAGAAGATAACCTTTGATAATCCACATTCAATTATCTATGTTGTTTGCCTGCCTTAAGTTTTCAACAGACTGTAAAATGGTAAGATTTATCATCTTTATGTAACCACTTATGGTATTCTAAACTCTGTGTGCAATTTTATGAGACTTGGTCCTTAAGACATTCCTCAGTAACATGTGTATGACAAACCTCTTAAAATAAATTATTTGTATGCTTAACTACAGAATGAATGTGTCTGTAAGTGTAATAGAACAATGTTTCACTTGTCACTCTGAAAAAATGATGTTGGCCTGTAGTTATCACCCTTTTATGCAGTTCATTGTAGAGCATGCTCTTCAACCTTACAGAAGCAGACTTGTAGCTAATAAATAAATAGTCTCCATTAACAACGTAAATTAATGTACCGTAAAGTAACATTTGCACTGCTATCAGTAATGGCCCACCTTGCAGATGGTGCTCAGGACTTCCAGCGCCGTCTCCCCGGGTTGTATGATGGCCAGGACAGGCTGATTGTTGGGCAGACACACCCAGGAGGGAGTTAGGTAATCAGGAACCCAAATGTCACTGTCTACGTTTTGCTGAGGAATACTTTTCACCGAGCCCTCTCTCTCCTTCTGAAAACACAACACACACACACAAACACAGAGGGTTTATGCATCTTTCAGCAGCCTTTGTGCTGAACTAAAACAGAAGGCACCCCATAATAAATTCAATAAATTCATGAAAACCTTTCAGTTCTAGTTAAGGTTCTGCTAAGGGAAGAATTAGATCCAGGAAACAAAAACAACCACATCCTATTATCGACACTTAGAATAGCCCAAAATATGTGTTAATCCTCATAATGCATCATTATTTCCCTTTTCCCCAGATTTGCTTAAATTGATTAGACTAATATGATGGAAACTGGTGGTGGCCTGAAAGCAGCAGGAGATCTGATTACAAAATCTAATTCATTTGTGTTGATGAGAACCTCTTGATACAACAGACTCCCTGTGTGGGTATGTGTTACATATCTGTGTTCTTCATGGGTGTGTGTGCATTCTGTCCAAACCAGTCTGTAACCTTTAAGCCATCAGTCTGACCTCTGACAATCTGGCAGCCATGTCAGACTCTCTACTCAGATTCTGTCCCGTTCGCCTTTTCTACTCGACCTCACACTGTCTGTCACTGATATCTTATCTCCTCCTTTCAGGTAATAGCATCCACAAACTCGTTTATTCTTTCATTCCCTGCCCCCTCCCCCACTAATCATTGCCTCTCCTTCTGGTGCCGCTTCCCTTCTATCTGTACATCCCTCCATCACCTCCCTTCTCCCCATCTTTCATTCACGCCATACAATCTGTTCACTGTTAACAATCCGACTTGAGGGTCCCTGTTTAAAGGAACTATCTGTGTGTGTGTGTGAAGTGTGTTGCTTAGAGTGAAAGTGACACAGAGGGAGAAAATTATATGCAAAGGCACATTTTTGTATCCACAAACAAACACACATGTTCACATTCACAAACAAAATACAGGCACACGCAGTTATAAAGAAAAACACACACACACACACTTCCTCAGACAGAAAACAGACCGGGGGGCCCGTGACTAGTACCTCCCCCCAACTCCCTGAACTCCCCAGCCCTGCTCGGCACCATCTGGCTCCCCTCCTGGTCCATCTAGGATGCCTTTGCTGGGGGGCGGGGGTCCTAGGCAGCACACTAAACTCTCTTTTTCTCTCTCATTCCTTTTTATTGCCATCAGTGGGATTCCCCAAAACAAACAGAGAATTTGAGCTGGGACAAGTCATCAGATGTGAACATTTGGAATAAATCTTGCTGGAAATGCTGATTGCTACTGATGCAGCATTTGCAGCTCAACCCATTGAAGAATGTTACTTCCTATGCATTTCTCTACTGTCATTCCATACCCTGGCAGCTGAAGCTAGACGTGGGTGGAAGGAAATCAATCTCCCATAGTGCCACTGGGGGCTTCCACAGTCAGAGTGGGTTAGTGCTGCAGTGTTTTCTTCTACCTACTGAGTTCACACAGAGGCCTTCCTCCCCTCATCTCTGCTGCCTGCTACCAATTCTCATAAAATATGGAGCTGGTATGCTTGTCCTTGCACAACCCATGGGTAATTGGACATTTTTCCTTACAGTTCATATAAATTTGTCATTTATTTTGTGACAAGGTCCTACTGGAAACCTCTTGTCCTAGGGTCTCATTGGATAATCTATTTTGATTTCTGAAGATATTATTTATTATATGCAGTTGTCTGTAAATTGCGGTCAATATGACAGATACACAAAAGCACAGATGGTGTGAGACTGCCAGGTCCTTTGGTAGCAAATGTCTGCATAATTTGCTGAAACATCAGAAAGCTAATGATCTGAACATATCAGATCAAATTTGTCTCAGTGGGATTAGCAGACAGAAACATCCCTCCAGTCGATAGCCTATGATGCTGATAGAGTTAGAATTGCCTGGAGCAAATGAAAAGAAGAAATGGGAATCTGTCAACACTGATTTTTAAGTAGTGTTTGACATGCTAAAAAGATAAAGAATAACGCCATTATTTCTGGCTGTGACGCAGACTGGTCAGCGCGCAAGAAAAACAAGAAAGCAGTAATTGATCCAAAACATAGTGAAGCAAATCATTTGTTGAAAGGTGCCGGAGGGGAAACAGCTGCAGCAGACGAAAAAGGTAATAAACTCAAGAATCAGCTGATAACACTGGGGAAAGGTGAGGTTCTGCAGCTTTTATAAGTTTTCACTCTTCAGCTAGGAGAGAAGTGGATGTCTGAAAACATTAAGGCTGGAGCTTGAACATGACCTCAAAGAAATGCTCATTGATGCAGAAGGGTGCAGGGATTTTGTGCTTCCCTAAGACAACCCCCCCAAATGAAGAACCAGAGCACCAAAAGGATCTTAGTTAAGTGAAAGGAGGTGGAAAATCCAGTGATGTTGCTGGCCTCGGGGTCTTAAGAATCCCGTAACCCATTATACAAGTACAAAGGTTCATCAGATGCCCGAGTGATTTTCATGTTGGCTTATGAGAAAGGCAAACAATGACAAAGAATTAGCCTACAGCTACATGAGCTCTGGTTCTCTGTAGTGAATGCCAAACTAAGAAAGGGAGGAGAACTTAATGTTTAGCCTTAGGAAGATTATTATTGTATAGACATAAATATTCACTGTATCTGTTGCGGCCTTTGTCATCTTGCTTTGGCTGCAGGATGGGCAGGGACCACAATGGACATAGATACAACTGGGCCTCTTACCTCCAACTTTTCAACAGCAAACAAGTTTTTAGTCCATCTTAATTGACATTAAAGGACCAGTGTGTACGATTTATTGGCATCTAGCGGCAAAGTTGCTGATTACAACCCATTAACCCACTCTCCTGTTCCAAGCATGTAGGAGAAACAATCGTGGCTATAAAACTTATAGCCCTATCTAGAGCCAGTGTTTGTTTTGTCCGTTCTGGGCTACTATAGAAACATAGCGGTTCAACATTGCAGCTTCTGGAGAAGACATAAAAAATGCTCATTCTAAGGTAATGAAAAAAAAAATTCTTATTTTCAGTTGATACACTAATAAAAACATACCTATGAATATTTTTTATGCCAATAGACCTTCTCAAATGTTACACACTGGACTTTTAAAAGAGGGCAGATGTAAAAATAACACATACAAAAATGTCAAGGACGACGCCATTCTCTTATGGTTCTTAATATAAAGGGACATTTGTATTGTGTTGGTACTTTTATCAAGTAAAGATGGCTGAGCTCTTACAGATTTCTCACTGGCAGAGTCTTCAAACATGCGCTCCAATGGCTTTCTCACTGGCTCCATTCCATCAACAAACACCTGCAATCAAACAGAAAAAAGTAGTATGTTACGACTGCATCCAAATATATCAGGTACGCACAATCAAAAGTTTGTAGTCATGGATGTGTCACTATGGAAACCTGGTTAATGGAAGGATGTCCCGTGGTCTTCCTCTTTGAGGTGGTGTCCAGCCCCCAGAGGGAGGAGAAACGGCTACGACGTTTACTGAAGGTACGAGGCATGGCCTGGTTCCGCTTCCTGACGCTGCTTTCTGTGCGCGCTGACACCTGACAATGATAATAACAGCAAGCATGAATCCAACAGAAAGGGTATTTAAACCTTAATTATATAGTAGTATAAAAATCTATCCGAATTGTTATTTTTTGCAGAAACATGCTAATGTACTGTATATATGAGCAATTAATAATATTTGGCATTTACACCAAATCCTTACTCACTTACAATACAATGCACTTATTCAAATCTGTTGTTTTACTTATCACATCACATAGTTTCTAGAAAGAAACTGGATCAATTGAATTGGAATGCTATTTAACTGATCCCCATTGGGAATTTTCTTACCTTTGATATTTGATCCTAATCTCATTCTTATGCTTTGTTTTTAATAAACTGTTGAGTTGCTGTTAAGCTGAATGGACAAAGAAAAAAAGGGTGTGGTTGGTAGACCATGTACATATACTATATACTGACAGCAGTCTGTGTTTGTAACGTATTAATAAGTCATACATATAAACACAAACACAGAAATGAAAAACAAGCCAACACATAAAAACACATTTTCAGCTTCCCAGTGTATACTAACGTCATGTACTAAACACTTTCAACCTCACACCTCCTTTAGTGACCTACTACATTCAATAAGAGAGACCACTCTTGGCATTTCTGGGTTAATTCAAAGTGAACTACTGGACTGTGAGCAGCTCTGACTCAGTATATGGTACATGAATATATACTTTGATGCACATGTATGTATGCACACACACTGTAGCACATACTGTACTTGTGTGGGCACACTTATTGGTCTCCTCACAAGTCACTGCTCATGAGACACACACACATCAAACGCAATAGGTCCAACTTCTTATGTAAGCTGTCTGCTTATTTTGATGCTCTTTGGGCCATGGATAATAACAACCCGGGTGAATAAAAGGAATTATTGTAGAAAGTAACAAAAGAAAAAAAATATAAATGTTCATTTTGTCAAACAGCTAAGAGTTGAGAGAGAGGACAGTTCACTTTTGCTATAGGCACTATGAATTGGATCATTTTAATGTTTTTGTATTTTATTAATTAAATATCAAATTCTATTCTTTATTCTGTTAATGCATTTCATTTTCAATTACTTCATGTAAACAGTGATTTTACATGTAGCAAATACATGACCCCAATTTGCCCATTGTAAAAAACAGTGATGTGTGAGACAGAAAAGAGGAAAGGGTGAAGAAAGATAAGGAGAAGGAGAGACTAAGGGATATAAAGTAGGAAAAAGAGAGTGAGAGACAAAGGAAGTAAGGGTGTAGGCAGTAAAAGGAAGGGGGGGTCAACAGAGCAGAGAGTGTTAAGCCTGTTTGTGGGAAAGTGCCTCAGGGATGGCAGCTTACTAACAGAGTTCGTATTGATTCACCAATCACAAAAAACACTATCAACCTCTGATGTTCTTGTGTGTGTGTGTGTGTTTGGTATATCCGATGGCCTGCTTGTATGAAACCGGTCTACAGAGATATTGTTTCCAACTCTTTTCTCTCCACTCTGCTTTTTGTTTACTGGATGATATTTGGCATACAGCATAAAGCCACATGATGCACATCGACATTTACATCATTCCATCTATGGTGGAGTTTCATTCTGTACATTCTTGAAACACTCAAGGTGACAACAAGAGCAAGGTGCAGAGCACTGAGCTAATGACTTGGCTTTTAGCCACAGGCTAAGGCATTCAACGTCAGGACAGTTTGTGAAGAGAATGATCTGAATGTGAGAGGTGAAGACAGTGTATGTGTGAAGGTAGATAAATAGAGGTGTATATTTGTCTTCCTTGTAGGTATCACAAGGAGTCATAAAAGGTTAAAAGGGCTTTCTTAAAAGGTAGTTTGAGTGATTCGAGTTACACTTAAGTTTCGGTTTGAAAGTAGAGTTAAATGTTAAATGGCCATACCATTGATTTCCTTGATTTTTGAAAGTCTCCTTTTAATTTCAATTTACAATACACTGTCAGGGTAAAATCTACAACTGAAAGAATGCAGCAGTGAGGCAGAGGCTCAATAAAAACCAGTTATGTCACAGCTGCAGTGAGCTTTACTGTCAATTGTTTCAAATGAAAACTCAGTACTGTGGCCTTAAAATCTCCCAAAGAATAGCTCAAAGACACAACTAAAGCCAATAGGAGCAAAAGGTCAATTCATTACACTTGCGTTCTGGTGTAGAGAACCAAATGACAGACGGCTCTGGCCCATTTTGGGATGCAACATTTGGGTAGTTTTTTGAGGTGCGGACTTTCCACTTGCAAGCACTTGGAATCAAATCAATATACTGTACCCAGGCAGATTCTGGCGCTCAACAAAAGGATTTTCGGCCAAGCTACTTTAGGACAGCTTTACAGCATTTCTAAAAAAGTCTAACATAGTAGCTAGTTTACAAGGATAATATGGGGGTGCTCATTATGAAGCCTTCTCCTTTCCTGCTTGCTTTAAAGTAGCCATTGTTAAGTTGTAGTGTGTTTTAACCTCAGGCTACATGAAATGCCTAATAGTCTGCACATTTTGTCAGGCAAATAGAAATTGTTGGTTTCAGTAGGAGTACAATATGTGACAAGCCGTTCACTCCAACTGCCGGATACACACACCCACTCTACAAGCTGGGCTGGTATTGAGGGTCAGCAATTGGGAACCTCTCAAGCAATGCCTACTGGAACATGAAGAGACACGAGGGAGAGAATTTGAATTTGAAGTAAGAGTCAAATTACATTAGATTAAAGTTACGGAGACAGCTGGAAGTCATAGACGAGTGCTAAAACAAGTGTGGAGTGAATGTAAGTGGGTGCATGGGCATTTTCAATCATACCAGTGCATGGAAGGAAGAGACAGAGAAGATGCCCAGTCGTCCCATGGCCAACTTGGTGGGACGCGAAGCAAAGCCCAGCAGGCGTTTGGGGTTGGGGGGCTCACCGCCCTGCAGACTGGCCAGGTAGCACCGACAGCGGAACAGATCCATGTGAAACCGCTCCAAGTTCTGCTCCCACAGGAAGATCTAACAGAGGAAGTATAAAGTGAAAGGGACGTGATTATGCAACATAAGCAAACTTTGCTGGTTAAATCCACATTTATCCATGGAATGGGTCCAGATTTGGCCACTGATGAAAAAGTGATAACAACAAAAAAAAGATAAAATATGCATAAAAGATCACTCTGTTAGCTGGTTATTTGGTAGTTTCAGGAGGAGTGAGATGTGGGAGTGCTGAAGCCCCTGTGGAGAGGTATTACTCACCAACACAACCCCCACCAGTCGACGACCTGCTGTGTTACGTGCAATGTATCACAGGGTGGGCCGTGGGAGGTGGAACACGGGGACACACACACACACACTCACACACACATAATCTAGACTTAATTTGCACTGGTTCCTGTCGTCACCTATTCGTTCCAGGACTTGATAGAAAATGAATACAACTGCTCTTTCTTTGAGTCATTAGTTCAATATAAATCCCAGTCCTCTCTATTTATGTAAACTCATTTAGTAGATTAATGTGGTTCCAGATCCTGATCTTGAAAGAAGTCAGATAATGATATAATCGACCACTCAAGTTAATCCCCTTTCACTCCTTTGAATTCAAGTTAATGTGCCTTTGTATGTGGAAGGCAATGAAAATCCAAATGTTTTTTCTCAGAAATGGGAAGCGTTCTGCATGATTGGGATTAACCACCTCCCGCTGCTTTTTATGTAATATTGTTTTCTTGTATTGACCAAATGCCACACACATACAAAGACACAGAGGCTTGCTCACACAAGCGAGCACATTCTTAAGCTCTCTTGCAATGTATACATGCAATGCTGCTTTAACACTCTGCAGCAGCTCCTGACATGCATGGAGTAAGAATGAAGCTATAGGCTATGTGTTCTACTGAAAGTGAACAAATCTTATGCTGGAGGAGCTTTGAAATTCCAGCTGTGACTCGTTTCAAAACCGATTAAATATGGAAGCCAAGAGACTTCAGGCTCACCTGCCTGCTATTGTGCTATGTGTTTCAACATGTGCATTCTGCTGCACTTGGACATATTTATAAATGAGCACCGGTTGGAATATTTGAAAACATCTGTCGTTGCAAGCACTCCCTGTGAACATTTTGTCTGGATGATGCCATGCAGTAAAGATGATTTAGTGCCGAGATTCCAGCGTGTGAGAGCATCAGTGAAGTACAAAGGTACAAAGATGTGCATCTGTAAAGGCCCTTGTTTTCACTTAGCTCAACTCAACTGGAGGCTAAACACACTCAGCAGGGTGCTCAACACATGAGATCACAAAACTGGTTCATATTAGCAACACATGGACATAAAGTATGGCTAATTTGAAGTACAATTATATAAAAAGGCTTTATTTGACACTTCATCTTGTATCTAGGTATCAATGAATTGACTGATTCCTTTGGGGGAAGGTTTTTTTTACCATTGCCTCCTCCCATCCCTGCTCCATACCTGCTCCAGTATGGTCTTCCTCTTCTTAGCATCAGTGACAGTGGACAGCTGCATGTCTCCCATCTTTTTCATCTTCTCATCCATGTCGATCTTCTGTTCCAGCTTACGGATCTCAGTTCGCAGCAGTCGCACTGTATCTTCCCTGTGATGCTGCCGAGCCAGAGCGGCAGCACATGCGGAATGGATCGCCGTGATCCAGTTCTCCAGTTCTGTCTGGCCTGACGTCTGACAGGAGAGGGGGGGGAATGGAAAAATAACTGGTGACGTGACTGAAGAATAAGTTGGAGAACTTAAAACAGGAAACAGTCGCGAGGAAAACAGATTAAGAAATTGACAGCTGAATGAATTGAAGTATGAGTCCCATTATAAGATTACACAAGTGGGTAGTAAATATAATCATCATCTTATTACATATCCTCCCATTCATTGATTGAATGCCACAGTGGACAGCTGCCATGAATATAAATAGACACATTTAAATATTACACAATGGTCACTGTGGTGGATCACTGTCACAGTATGACAGTGTGGCCTTTAAACATGTCAGACATAAGACAAACACATGGACACAGGACTTTCTTATCTCGCACATGTGGCTAAATGTCATGTAATTGTGTGCCACGCACACACACAAACCCCCCCAGGGGAAATGAGGTCTCTTCTTCTTCCCATTCATCTCCATATCTCTTGGTGATTTGCTGACTTCATGTAGTCCCAAAAAACAATGAAATACTGTGACTATGAAATACTAATGTTGTTTCAGCCTTAACTGTAAGTTTGAGGAAAATACTTCCCTTCCTCTTTTGTTTTCTATGTCCCATGAATGTTTTAAATACCTGTGTCTGTCTCACCTGGAAGAGGAAAGCGTCTCCCACTGAGTTACTGAGGCAGAAGACAAAATCTTTCTTGGGGTGTTCAGGTACAGCCTGGACAATGCTGTTCTCCACCCACAATGCATGTTTAGGAACGCTGTTGTGGTCAATGCCAGAACGACCGTCTGACTCGTACAGGAACAGAGTGCAGCCTTGAGAGAAAATAAAGACAGAAAAGGTTATTTCTGAATTTGCTGTTTTTTTATTTTTTTCAGCACTACATTGCAATGATATACACATCTAAAATGTGTCCCTTTTAGATCCATGTTGTATTCAATCCCTCGTTGGTATTTAAGCAAAATATATAATAATTAAAATTACAGGTCTACATTTTTTATTATTGGTGCAGCAGGCCAGGAGGAATACAAAGAGACAGTCTTTTTTAGGGGGGTGGGCAGGAATGCAGCTGCAGATGCTGTATCATGCATTTCACAAAGATGAGATTGGATTAGCTACGGCCGCTCCCGTAAAAATTAAATTGCAATGAGGTCGAGGAGAGAAAATGTAAGGCCAAACAGAAGAAGGTGAGAGAGGACAGTAGAGGTGACAACCAAGGGCATGCACTGTGTTAAGTCTGATGGGATTACAGTCTAACAGGAGGGAGAGAGTGAGAGATTAAACACGCTGAGGTCAGGTACACAAGATGTGTATCTGAATGTGACAATATGGCTGCTGTTGAAAAGTTGTTTAGTTTTGCAGTTATTAGTCATTGGTATTAATTACTGCCATAATTATTTATGTAAGTAAATACACAAATTGGTTGATATGTTTTCAGCTGCAGAAGCAGTTTTAGTTTTATGCAATGTAACCGCAATGTCCTCAGTTTGAATTTGGAAAGAGACATACAGCCTCATGCTTTTTATCCCCACATTTACAATTGTTTTCCAAAAATAACTAAACATAAAAGCATGAGAGTCTATGCAACACCTTTCAGAGAAACCCAGTAGTGCTTCCACTTGCGCCTTGTTGCAGGTTCCACCTTCTTGTTTTTCTTATGAACCAAGAAGTTCTTCACAGCCAAAGCCCCTGCCTTCCTGACTGTGCCTTGCGCACAGCCAATCAGAGTGTCCGATGGATACGCACTACTAAGAGTGCCGCTGCTCTGCTCATCACTCACAGCGGAGCCAGCCTCCTCCGTGCAGTCCCGGCCCTGATGTGTCTAAAGACAGAATCATGGGAGGGGAGATTTAGTGATAACAAATTCAACAATGATAACAATCTACCATTTATATCTGTTTTGGAAAAAGAATAATGTACAAAGTAACTAACCCAGGCTTGATTGTCCAGCTCCTTCCGGAAATTCTCATACACTCCTCCCCTGCCTCCCTCGCCGCATCTTCCTTCTCCTCCTCCTGCACTGCTGCTCCCGCTGTCGCTCCCATTAAAAACGCTGCTCTCAGTAGCCGAGTACACTGAGAAAGAGGCCGACATGGCCTTACAGCGCCGTGACACCAACTCTCCGTCGCAATCTATCTCCGTGGTGACACCATCGATGCCGCTGTCACCATATTCACTTCCCTCGCCCAAAACACCAGAGATGTCCTGTCAGCCAGAAGAGGGTATAAACACAACTGATTTACTCATGGATAAATAATGTTTATACAGAAACTGCTATATCTGGTTTGCCAAAAAATGTTTTTGGGCTTATATTTGTGTGTATACGTATGTGCTTGGGTGCCTACTGCATCAGAAAGTCTGTTTGTGTGCATGTTTTGCAGTGTATATCTGCTAAACGAAAGCTTTTCACTTCGAGCGAGAGTTTCTCTGTGCTTTCACACTTTTCTTTCACCAAATCGAGGCTCCCTCTGTTCTATTTGTCTTTGTTTTGCTGTGTTGTCGGTCTATTTATATCCGGTCTAACAACCCCCACAGCCTGGCTAGATGAATTTATAATAAGCACTTAGGGTGCTCTGCTATCCAAGGGTGCTTGGGGGTTCTGGGAATGAGTTGAAAGAAAAGTCTGGTTTGCTATTTTAGTACTTCCTTCTTATTTGGCAACTTTTTTGATACAATGACACATGAAAATTGTGGAAAGCACATAAATTTTCTCTTTTCAAATGACGTAGTTGTTTTTGTCCATTGCATCTCTTACTAATTGGCTTCTTTGTGATATATTACAGTGACTTTGCTTCATCTTTTACCCTTTGAGTGAATCGGCTTTTGTAAAATTGTAAGAAAAGCTGTTTTTATAATTAAATTAGTTTGAAATGTCTTTGTGTGTATATTTATGAGGGTTAGGACAGTGTGTGTGTGGTTAGTGAATGAGGCGTGAAAGATAGTATGTTTTAATGCTTTAATTTCTGGAGGGGGAAAGGAAAAAATTAGACCAGTGTTGGACAAGTAGCCCCACAGCAACTTTCTATCTGACTCTTTGTAATCCCTTTCCCCACTACAGAAATATGCACACACCCAACTGCAGAGCATGAGCACACACAGGAAATGTCTCTGGTTGTCAACAAATGCTAAATCCTGCAGTGACAGTCATGTCTGTAAATCCCCTAAACTTCCTGGATACTACTGTTGAACAAAGTCCTCTACCATTCTACGTTTAGGGGTCTGCATTACAGAAAGGAGAGACCGAATACCAGAGAAAAGTAGAGAAAGCAGACTTTTAACCTAATTACTGCTTCATCTTGCTTTGTATATTTATTCATGTATTCATAAATTGTGGTCTAACCTGGGTAGTTTGTGCCCTGCGCCCTTGGAAAGCAGGGCACGGTGCAGCCGGGATGCCAAGGCCTGCCAAGCCTTCAGACAGGCAGTGGGAGCGTCGGCAGGGGAGCGTAAATGCTCCATACCCGCCACCATCCTCCTCGGTTGGAGACATCAACCCCTCCTCCCCTTCTCCATCTCCATCACACTCGGCTTCTCTGCGGGTTTTAGCATAGCGGCTCCTCTGCCCCCTGAGGCCAGGACTCTGGCTGCACAGATGGTCCAGAGACGATGCCCTTTCAGCTGAGCCAGGAATATGAACAGGTGGTTATTGCAGGGCAGTGCGTGTATTTGTGTGTGTGAGCAAGGTGAGGTTAATGTATTCTGATTACTCTCAGTTACTTTCAGATTACTTTGCCACTTTTGATGTGTAAATCAACCTTCTCCATGTGTGTCTGTGTCTTTCTGTAAATCTGTATGATTTTGGTAAGAAGGCATGAATGTGTGTGTGCGTGTGCAACCAGCCCATCTATTATTCTGAGCTAGCTGACCACCTGGGGCAGCGCTTAGACCTTCAAGTTACCAGCTACCGCCTGCTGTCGCAGTGAACTCCAGCAGCTCCTGCACAGTGCCAGTTAAGCTAACAACCCTGTGATCAACGGAACTACTGCAACTGATGGATGGCAGCTAACCTTCAATCAGTAGATTTTCTCAAATCATTTCTCTCTACTCTGTTAGTGCCTGCAATTTTTTCCCACCTCCATCCCCCTCATCACTTGCAAACGAATCAAATCAACACTCTTGCACACATGCACAGATATACACACATACAGTATATGAACATTTCACATGTCATACATCAGTCACCATTTTCCTGGACAGCCACAGTGGTAACTATAGACTAAAAGTAAAGAGTAAAATCCATAAACCCTAAAAACCTGTCTGTGCCCTAACAATGGTAGTCTTTTTAATTATGAAACATATGCTTTTGCATGAGAAAATTGGACATGTGTGGGTTTACAATAAACTGATTACACAACATTAGTTGTGTGTCTACCATCCTCACCTGCACTGCCTCGGGGGCGTGCAAACTGCTCCTCCTCCTCTTCTTCTCCTCCATCTATTATCTCCTCAGTGCTGGTCAGATGCTCCTGGCTCAGGTCAGACAGAGAGAACTCCAGGCTGTCTTCTCTCCACATGTCCGCTGACTTGGACCGCTTCTTTTTAAAACTCCCTCCTTCTCGTGGACCCTCAGTCATTCGCTGGAGGTACCTTTCCTCTCCCATAATGTCTCCCTCGCCCTCCCCCTCCCCCATTGAGTCCTCACCACCATCCTGGGCGACGGTGTCTGCCTCTGAGGTTTCAGGAGTTGGTGTGGCCAAGGTGTCGTCATCGTTTTGATAGGACTCCGGCCTCATTGTCATAGCGACACGCTGTGTCCAGTGAGGGTTGATGCCAAAGTCTCCGAACGCATCTGTTGCGTTGAAAGGTTCCAGCCCGTTCTCTGCTAAGGATTGTGGGATGCTAGGGGTGCTGGAGGAGCGAGTTGAGGCTTCAGAGTTTCTGTGTTCCTGTTTCACTGAAGAAGAGTGCCGGGAACGCCGGGTGATTGGCTGCTTGCTGGACAGACGGAGTGACCGGGACGTGTGCTTACGGGAGAGATGTCCCGTCACATCGCCGTGGAAACCACTGTCCCCATTCTGGCTCTCCACATTTCCCATAATTCAACTGTGGATTAAGGAAGAGGTGTCTGTGAAACATATTTATATACTTATAACTGTTCCCATTGCCACTTTCTAACTAACTAATTTCGGCTATGACTAATTCTTGATAGTTTCTAAAATAGTGATGTAAGTGTTTTATAACTACTTATTGGTCTGGGCCACATCTGTAATTTATAACTAACATCTGTATTCATTAACTGGCACACTGATCACCTGAGCTCATACCAAACTGAACAAGAGTGTTATCTATATTTATGTTTATTAAGTTCATCAACCTCATACCAAGGCACTTGTGTAAAAGGGGGTCGTGTGCCAGATCCCTCTTATGTTTGAAATGGAAAGTAGAGTATTAAATTTAATAGCAACTGCACAAATTTAAAACAAAAACATGCATCAAGTGCAGCTGTTTTTAAATGATTCGACCGGTAAGCCAGTGGCTTTTTGCGAAGTCAGGCAAACCGAATAGAAGAACACACAGCAACTTCTAAGCATGACCAAAACTAGTTGAAACTTTTCAAAGAAATTAGAAAAATAAAAACTATATTTGCATCATTTTAGTTACTTACTTTAGTTACCTTAATGCTAGTACTAGCAAATTACAGTATGTATGTGGCAGCAACTATCAAAATCTGTTAAATACTGATTCTTGGTCAGATTCTTAGTCTTTGATCAGAAATATCTTTTGTCACTACCCCCCTGAAATTAGTTTTTTACTATTGCGATTTTAAACACTGTTTTTACATCATTACCTTATTGTAGCCCTTGCCCTTTAATGGCATTGTCATGTTTACTCTCCAAACTCTAAACCAGGTCAATTTCTGTGCTGGATGAATGAGTTTGCAACATTTGATGGGCCATTAACTAACAGTGGTACATCAAAGGTATCCAGGATCTGTTTGAATGCCTTGTATGAGTTGCGCTGTCAGGCAAATGATCACAGGGATCACATATTTGGTTTTATTTGGTAATTTTTAGGACAACACCCTCAAATAGGGCAGCACAGGGACAAAAACATTTATTAAAAATGTATTTAGGGCATAAACACAGCTAACATTTTACAGAGACTTCCTAAGGGTTTTCTGGTGTTGTCCCATTTAAGTATTCCTAAAGCATAAAAAATTTAATTCAGTTTTTAGCGACTACAAAGACATCTAAAATTTAAAATGAAAACTCCTTTTCTCATACTTTCGAAAGCTACATTTCAGTTTAAGTAAATCTACATTTTGATGAATTTAAGTCTTCAAAACTGCACAGCTGATCCCAGACATTGATGAATGGCGATGGTTGACATGAGGATGGATGGCCCAATCCTTTTTGCAGCACTTCTCTCCCTCAGTGGTGTTAAAGTTATTCATTAGTTATATTCCCAGAACAGTTAAAACCATCCAAGAAATCCGTTTTAACCACGTTCTGCTGTTTATAAAGTTATTTGAGCATCCTGCTTCACCTCATGCTCTCTGTTATATAAGCACGTAGAGCTGCTGAGTCAACTGCTGTCAGATCAGTTGGCCCTCTAGTGAGTCACACATCATCAAACCCACACCATCAGGTTCTCAGTGTGGGCTCAAACTGCAGCGACAGACTGATAAAAATCTCTTCTAACAAAAAATTATTGAATCTAGTATTGAGTATTAAAGCCTGTAGGAATGATTCTTTTCAGTTGTTTCTAAATATATAATATAATATGTAAATATATTTTAAAAAAATAAACATGTAAATATATTTACAAAATAAACTGGTAGGATTTTACAGTTCAGTACAAAATCAAATTACTTATGGAGATTTTTGCAGTGATGGGAGAACTGCGGTTACCTGTGTTTAAGCAGCCGCATCACCAGCTTCTCCACATCAGCGCGGTGTCATCTTATATTGACCGCATGATCCTCCACACATCCTCAAATGGTGGTGTCAGTTTGCCCTGAGAGGAACAAGAGGAGAGAGAAGTGTTTCAGTGCAGCTCTCACAACTTCAAAGTGACCCGATGTGTCAAACGCACACAGAGGAAGAGAGAGGCAGACAAGACGAGAACTGGAAGGTGCTTCTAAAAACTACTGCGGAGGATCTGCCAGGTACGTCACATGAAGCTGGTGAAGTTAAGTTGAAAGAAAAGTGTGTCAAGCACACTAGAGAGGGACCCTATAGGATAAGACACAGCACACGGGATGAAAGAGAATAAAAGACACTGTGGTCAGTAAGCCTGGAGTTAAAATAATGCAGAGAGGCAAGTAAAAACAGCAAACAAACAAGAAACACACATTTAAATGGACACATATACAAACTCACAGATCATCAGAAACAAAGCACAGAGGTATTGTCTGAGCCTTAGGGGGGAACAAAACTCACAAACAACCGCAGTTTCTTTGAACTGCACCCTGAAACTCATTGCCAACTGAAAACCATGCAGGCAAGTATGGGCATGTGCACAAAACATTTTGGGAAAACACCCCTTGTTTCCCTGCAGACAAAGAGATGCGCACGCACACACACGCTGACGGTAAAATGTCAGAAGATAAAAGCAGCTACAGAGCTTGATTTTCTGCTTAAGACTCAATTAAATGCTTGCCAACACGACCTAATTTTTCCTAATACCGGTGCCTGAGCTGCTTAGAGTAGACCTTGATGTGCCATAATGTGCTATGTGTAGTGTGAAGGTATGTAAGTACAAGCATGCACATATTTTTAGTTCACAACCAGATCAAAATGTAGTTCGTACGTAGAACGAGGCAGATGTAACTGATGCTCCTTGTCAGTCGGCATTCAGGGGCCCCTTGGCAGCCTCGCTGGGAGACTAACTGCTGCCCTCAAAGCTGCAAACACTATTCAATCCTATTGTCAGATTTGTTTGTGTTCTGATAAGCCCATAAGCAGGAACATAATGGAAGAGAAATCATTTCATTCTCATGCAAAAAAATCTATTGCAAAGCAGATGTCAATCAGCACAGAGTCTGTTTAGATCCTGCACATCTGGTGAGTAATTTTAACTAGCCATTTCAGAATGCACAAGACGCATTTGTTCCCTAAGGTCTAAACTTTGACAACAGCTGCCGCTGCTGTTGTTATTGATCTTAATCTGATAACACTGTCAATTTGTTTACTTTCTCGGGCAGAAACACAATAAGTCAACCATGTTACAGTTCTAGGGAAATGAGAGTAGTAGAGTAGAGAAAAGGAGAAGTAGAAAAGGACAATAAGAGAAGTGAAGGTCAGGCAAATGCATGGAAACCATTTACAGAGTTTGGTTTGCTGGTCAAGTCCGACTTTGCACCACGCCAGTATGCGTGTTCGTGTATTTAAACTTAGCCACTGCCGCACATTTCGCCCCAGCTGTGGGAAGCAATTACATAAGCAAAACTTGACCCCGATACTTCTTCTCCCCTGCCTCTCACTCCCCCCTTTATTTCTCATCCCTCCTCCATCCCATCCGGCCTGATGAGAATTATCCCCAAAAAAGGAAAACAAAAAACAAAACTGAAAAACAGAAACACACATTATATAATGCACACACAATGCTTGACAGGTGCAGGATATTTAATTTGGATCTAGGCCTGCTCTACTTTTGAAATCTGGCATCAGTAAACTAACAAGACTTAATACCTCAAATGATTTATAGCTTTATAATACATACATAGCCGGTGAATGGAAAGCAGTATAATCCACTAATAAAAAAAACATGTTTTACTACAGAGAACTCATGGCTGCATCACTATTGCCAAGCCATATAGTTCATCTATACGACTATCTGTCTGAATTCAGTGTAGTGGAGGTGAAAAACACACGCACACACAGGGCAAACAAACAAAACAATCCTGTCTGACACAACACAGGGGACATCAAACCACTGCCTTTCCTCTGGCGGTGTACAGTCTAAAGTGTTCAGTCTCTTCGTTTTTCCACTCTCCGTGCCCCGCAGCAAGGCAATGGAGGAGGGAGAAGGGTAACGAGGAGAGAGAAGGCGGGATCTCTGCTAAACCCACATAGAGCTGAGAGGTGAGGCGAGGCTGGGGGCGAAACACATATGAAGGGAAGGCGCTGAGGTTGGTGTAGGCACAGCAGGGGAGGGTGAAAAAAACATATTGGGGAACGGTGCTATGAATAGAAGTTTGATATGGAAAAGTGAGAAAACAGGGGGGGGGGAAGAAACGCAGAGAGAGAGAGAGAGAGCGAGAGAGGAGAGATAGATAGTGAGACATTGGGGGGGGTCCTATTGTTGCTAAGCTTTAAGTGGATAAGTAGACATGTGCTCTGGCTGCCTCTCTTCAGGCTTAATTGAGGGAGCCGAGACAAAAGGGGAAACATAATTATTCGCTCTCTTTCCCTCGGTCTCCCGTTTCTCGCTCTCATTCTCGCAGTATATTAACACATTGAGAGAGTGTATTAACACAATGGCCTGCGCAACAGCAGCCAAAGCATCATTACCATGCAGACGTGCCCACTCACAGACGAACGCACAAACACACTGAGAGGGACAAAGAACAATGTTGATGAAGATTCCGTATTGGTTAAATGTCTTACTAAAAACACAACTCTACACAAATTAAACTCCCTTCGCTTAGAAGACTTTATATACTCAATTTATATTTGATTTTTATTTACTGAATTTATCACTCAACAACATTTGTAAGTGGCAGATCTGCTGTTTTACAAGCACAGAGGGGGAAGCTCTACTTTCTGAGACACAGAATCAGAGACAGTGCTGAGCATCGTACTGGGACTGGATGCGCCACTTAACCATACTGTCAGAAACAACTCTGTACTGGAGCTGTCAAACTCATATTGCCACATTGACGCAGTTGCGTTAGAAAGGCACTCAACACCTATGGGCTCTCACGTCTATCACCTAATGCATGACACACACGCAAACAGGTAGTTTTATGCAGAATACACTACAATAGTACAAAGGAAGACATGTTTCCAGTCACACACACACACGCACACACACACACACACACACACCTGCACAATCCCAAGAGAAATGTGAGCAGGTTTTCCAACTCACACACATGCTCTCACACTCTTTGGAAAAATACCAAAGGCCTGTCAGAACAGCCATGGAGCAGGCACACCCTACTTCCCCACCGCCAATCTTTTCATCTCTGCACCTGTCTCACAGCTCCGCCCTACATGACACACGGCTCAGGATTCAAACCGCACATGACGTGTATGCGCGCTACTGTACATGACTGTATTGTGAATGAAGCCAAACAAAACCTGTCTCATTGCTTTTTCAAGTCTGTCATAGTCTAGACGGCATGCTGGAGTGCCTGTTGAAATGAAATTATGAAATCTCTCAAGTACCTTTATTACATGCCTTTCTTCTGCATAATAGACAACTTCAAGACCCCCAATCAGAAATGTACCTGCTTTTGCAACATATTACTAAACCTTGTGGTCTTGAATTTTGCTTTTGCTATTAAAAATTAGGTGTAGTTATTATTAGCTGTTAGTCACAGTTTATAACACAACAGGAGCAATGACTAATGACTTGTGATAATTCTCAAGGGACCCACACTAGTTGAAGTTTTTTCTCTGGCTACCTAATAAATGGTCAAAGAATATAGTCCCACCCTAAAGGAAACATTAAAGGTAACAGTAGTGTCCAGTCTAGACGCTGCCGTAACCAGAGAAGCGCTCGGCTTGACTAATCTCTCTGACCCTTTTCTGCACCCTCGAACCACGACCACGACCACGACCCCGACCCCCACCAAGCCTCAAAACACATGACGCAGTCACCGGACTCACCCTTCCCTTAGGCCCTTTCCCGCACCTTTCACATTCCTCAAATGGTTACCATATACCCCCCTCCCTCAGAGCAGAGAATGAAGTCGCTGAGGTTAACACTCTTGGGGGTAAACAAAGGAATTTCTGGATGGGGGCAAACTTCATTCCAAGTCAAAATAGACTACCGCAGGAATTCTGGGACAAGGTTTTATCAGTGTCTCCATGCTCCCCGATTTTGCATACACACCTGCAAACATGCATGCATTTACACTGGGGTTTCCTTGTTGTTGTTTACACCAAGCAAACCTGCTTTGAAAGATAGCAAACACACCATGAATAACATGTGAATTAGGACTAGGTGCAGGGAGACTCAATGGTCTGAACAAATAAGGATCGGGGACTTATTTGTGAGTGCATGTGTGTATGTGCACACCTTGGCATGTGCATTGTTCACATTTGAGGAGAAACTATATCTATCCAATGTCAAGATAACAGTCACATATGCTCTGGAAACATCCTATTGTGGAGACGGGAGCGCACACTCCACTGCACTCCCACAGTCTCTGTGAGACGGGACTGTCTGAGACATCACTGGTAGAATTCCCTGGAAGAGGGAGATTAGCTTCTTATTCATCCTTTCGGGATCTGACAAGACACGCGCCACCTCCCCCCCTTCTCTCAGCTTAAACACACACATGCACATACACAAACAGCGTGCCTGCAAGCGTGAGTCTCGGCTGCTGCTTAAATCAAACATTAATTTCTTTTAACTGTTGAGAGACAAATCATAATTCCTTCCTGAAGAGCGGCTTTCATTCTCAAGCCACAGAGGAGGGCAAAGCATAAAAATGACAGAACAAAGTGGAGTGGGAGGAAATGAGATGATTGTTATTCATTTACTGTGGCCCCCAATATTTGTCATCTCCTAACAGAGAAGTGGAGGGAAAAAAAGTCAAGATTTTGGATTGTGTAGTGGAGAAGCAAATTCAATGCCAGTTCCTGTTCAAAAGCATGTGCCAGAGAGGGAAGAAGCCAAGCTAAACTAAATAAAAAAATAAATAAAGATAGTAGTTTAAAAACAGGGGGGATGATAGTTATGTAGTGCAGTATATCATCTGCAAAATTACACATATAATAGATTTTATATTTATATTATATATTTTCTGTGTGACATCTGAGGATCAAGTGGAAAAGATGAAG